AAAGTTCTTCTCTTTGTAAGATTGTTTAGGTTAGGTTTTCCTTTCCTATCTTCCGCAACAATCTTTTGTATTTCTGTGTGTATTAATTCTTGATATAAATCAATAAGAATTAAAAAGTTGAAAAAAGTATGTGTAATTGTATTCAACCCCCCCCCCTTCTACAATTACTTTCTGTTTATTGCCTTACCCTTCGGGACTAACAGTGACACTCATATAAGATAGACATGTGACTAATTTTTGTGTTTTGTCGCATTCAATGGAATCGGATCTCCCTCATTACCAATATCTGATTTTTAGATATGATATTTTATCCATGTTTTCGTGTTGTTTTGGATATGAAGAGTATCCACGATTTGACGCTCCAGATGTTGTTTATTGTTTATATATGGTTGCTTTGGAATACTTAATTCTTATTCATGTTTCGAGTATTTGATCATCATGCTTTTATTCTTGGTTGTGGGAGTATTGGGTTTTGGTTTCATATAAATGCTTTTTTGAATTGATGGATTTTCATCAAGAAAATGGTGGGTTTCGTAAAGTTGTTGCTTTGACGATAAAGATATTTTATTTACGAAATTATGATATGAATTAGCAGGGTTTTTTTTTCAGTTTGAATGTTTTATGAATATGATAAAAATTGTATGATGTAAAATTCGGTTTCCTAATATAATTGATTGGGTATTAAAGTAGTTTGGTAATGGAAAGTTCGGGGTTCCATATTGCTTTGGATAGTTGGTTGTTATAATATCACCCTATATCTTGATAAAATTCTAGCATTTGTTGTTTGGATGGGAATTAAATTGTATTACTAATACTGTTTGCTTCATCGCCCATTAAATCTCCCAAGAACAACTCTCATCGGACGAGGCTTGTTCGATGAGGTCCCTTATCGGATAAGGCAGTAACCGATGGGGCCACTTCATCGCACACAAGGTCAGCCGGTAAGGACCCTTCATCGATCAAGGCTTGTCCGGATAGGACCCCTCAACGCTTGTCTGGATAGGACCCCTCATCGATCAAGATTGTCCGGATACCAAGTCTTATCCGATAACCACTTCACCGGACATAGTGTTGTCCGAACACGACATAGTGTTGTCCGGATATGACAAAGTGGTACAATAATCTCTTCAATAATTAAGTACTACCTGATTGACTATTATTAGATGAAACAGACGGTGTAACCGCGATAGATGAAATGGCGGTGTACCGCGATAGATGAAATGGCGGTGTAACCGCGATAGATGGATTGGCAAGATAACCAAGATATTAATTTTAGGTAAAGTTCAGGTTTGAACTATCTTGGGATTTGCAGTAAACTATGTTTATAAGAGTGTAACTCACTCACTAGACCTTTTGGTCTAACCCTCAATTGTTGTACTAAATTGTTTTGCAAGTCATCTATCATCTCAGGATAAAGGCAAGAGAAAATGTAAGGAAGAATTAATTGGAAGAACGTTTTGTTATGACAAATTTTTTGTTAATTCATACTGTTAATTTGTCATATGTAAATAGACCTGAAATATTTGTATAATATTTGTACATGAAGTGTGGAAATGTATGATTTTTTTATCATTAGTATTGTTTAGTGTGTGGTGGGTTGTTTCATATGACTTGATAGGCGTTAAGTTTAACCATTTTTATTTGTCGGCATTTGTATTAGGTTCTTCTTGGGGATTAGTAATAGCGACACTGTTATGAATTGGGTGCTAGTTAGAGGCACATGAAGGATCTAGTTATTTGGTGATGTCTTCTGCTTTTGGAGATAGCGACTGTATTTGGATTTTTAGTAAAATCCAAACTTCACCTAGACTTTATGTAAGGTTTGGTTTATCAATTGTCAATGTTAAGTCTAGATTTCCATTCGAAGTAATTTAAGTATTTATTTACAGAAAGAGATACCCATTATTTGTTGCATTATTGAAAATTTTAAAAATTTACACGCTCTTTCTAGATTTGAAGGTGTTACATAACATAAATGAAGATGATGATTCTGGATCCCTAAAAAACATCAGCTCATGGCTCATCAAAGATCCAAACCCTCGTTAACGCCATGTTAGTTACCGTAACTATGTCATAACTTGTTTTATATTAAATTCAAAACAAAGATTAAAAAACGTAAGGTTTATTTCAATTTTAAAATTGCTATATTTGAACTTTTAAATGAAATAAATAAAAAGTACGAGTCACCAATTTAGTAATTCTAAATTTAGATACAAACCTTCCAAATCTCAAAAGCTAAGCCCATCCCAAAAAACATAAAATATCAAACACAAACATACTTGTACACAGCAAATTCAAGATGGATTGGAAAAATTAAGAGATTGAGATAGAGCGTAAGAGATAGAAGACAAACCTTCCAAATTTCAAAAACTAAACCCATCTCAAAAAAGTTAATAGTAAAAGTTACAGAAGTTTATTCTTTCTTCACATTATATGTATTTTAGGGGTTGTTTGTTTACCTCTTAATAGTTTCATTAAGAGACAGCCTCTGAATGTGAATCTTGTTTGGCAAAAACGATTCCGCCTCTTAATGGTTTTAAAACCCTCTGAATGATTTTGTATCATAGGTATCCCTTAACCATTCAGAGCCCTATTTTCGTTGTAAATAATTACCAAACAATTATATTTCGTTTTGCAATATATCATGAGCGCCTCTTAATCATTATGCACCAAACCATTCAGCAATTGTCAAACAACCCCTTATACAAAATAACAAATTTATATAAATGGAAAGTAAGTTTCTCATGCTGCATTTCTCTTAAACAATGGGTGGTCTACATACACGGCGACTGATTCTGAAGTTAAAAGTCAGACAAACATTTAGGGGCCATTTACCCAAATACTTACCTGGTAAACGCTTACGGTAGGAGTCAACACTATAGTCTATTTTACCAAATAAGATTGTAGTATATTAAAACGGTATCGTATGCAACAATTTACCCAGTAAACGCTTATCCGAGTAAGAGTCCTCACCATCACTTACCGGGTAAGACTCTCTATCCTTATCATTGCTCTTACCGGTTAGATTTTCAGCCCTTGCCATGTACATCAGATGAGGAAAGTTACCCGATCCACACTTACCGGGTAAATATTTAGTAAATGGCCCCTTAATCATCTCTCAACTCGAACTCCATTGATTCCCACATCCTACTAATTATTGAATTTGAAAATGGTTGGACATGTTATGTAACACAGCACCGGTGTCATTAAAATGATTCACCGTAATCAATATTTTTAATCGGTTTCCAGATCAACATGGTTTAATCGTAATGACCAGTTTTTGAAGTAGTTGTAAATAGGCTCTAGGAAGCCTGTAATGAAACAAACCACCGATAGTTTGTCGATGATACAGAATGATGCATTCAGTCTCCCCAAGCATCGTCTTTCAAACTCTGTCTTGAAACTATTCGTTGCTTTCGGGCTGCTTCTTGTTCCTTGAGTTCTTTTTGCCCAAAACTTGTGGAAGGCAGCTTCATTCCCATTCCATGAGCAATCAACCTTCGGGCAGTTCTTACTGATGTTTTAGGCCTCTGTCGAGGCGGCTCCAAATCTGTCAACAAAAATAAGCATCTTAGAATGAATGAACCAGAAACAAAAGCTTCATTGTAGAACCGCTATATAAGACTAAGACTCAAAACGAACCACGTTAAATTAACCGCATATATTTGGTATCTTTAGGCTGAACAAACCACATGGGTCATTCAAAAATGCCCTTCCTCAAGTGTTCGGTGGTGTGAGTTCTGATCAATGGAGATGATCCTCAAGTGTGCGTTTGGTATGTAGATGGAACTGGACATGTGAGGTTGAAGTAGACGGGTGAAAGAATTCTAGAAGGTTTTTAGAGTTTCAATTTCATATAAGATGTTTGGTGATTTACAATCTTATCTCATCTCCCTAATGCATTTTTGTCCCATTTAAGTCGTGTCCTGTTCCAGTCCAATGTCGTGCAAAACGTGAGACAACAAGTTTTTGTTATGTCATATCCATCACTACATGTGTACCAAAGAAAGTGCTATCAACAAAAAAATTCTCAGAGATGAAAGACTTTCCGATTAGATTTTCGTCGTCATGGATCAATTGTTCAGAGTACATGCCAGCCGTCACGTGTCTCTCTAAGGTCTCTTTTTTCCCATACAACACCTCAGCCTCATTTGTGTTGCCTTTTAAAATACGAGTTAGACCTCTTCAAGCGATCATGGTGTAATCGTTGTTCATCCCACTGCTTAAAGTCTTAGGAGCCGTAGGTTCGCGGAATCGGAAGGAATTTGATGGAATTGGAATGACAAGTCCCTTTGACCAAATTTCATTCCTTTGTTTGGTTCACTTCTTGAAATGGATGAAATCCTTCAAATTCCATTGAAATCCACAAATCAATGAATTCATCATTCCTTTGGCATAATGGAAGGAAACTCCATCATCGCTCATCCCTTGTTCCCACCACGAGCATGCTACTATTGTTTGTTACACCCCAGCCCTAACCCCCCCCCCCACCAAACCACTGTGGTGGCAGCGGGGTTAGTAAGGGCAGAGCAAGGTGGGGGGGAGGGGTGGGAGCTGTGAAGAGGACAGTAGTGGCATGGTGGTCGGTAGTGTGTGGGCGAAGCGATGGGTGGGGTGGGGTAGGCGGGCGGGGCGTGGGAGGGGGATGGGGTGGTAGCCATGACGACAACAGTAGTGGCATGGTGGTCGGTATTGGTGGGGTGGGCAAAATGGTTATTCCAATTCTTTTAAGAGATTTCATTCCAATTCCTACCAATCAAACGCGTAGTCAAATTCCATCAAATTCCATTCCAATTCCTTCAAAGTTTGATGGATTCCAATTCCACTAAATTCCATTATGTGAACCAAACCCTCCCTTGGTCCCATTTGGTTGTCGGATTGGATAGGATTTGGAGAGATTTGGAGAGATTTCATTCCAATCTCATGTCTGGTTCGAGAGATTGCATGGATTTGAAATCTCGAGATCCCATGAAATCCCATAAACATGGATATAGAAATCCCATGGGGGTAGTCGGTATTTCGCGAGATTTCGTAGAATTTGTTTGTAATAATGTTTTAAAAGTTAACTTGTTTTGTAATAATAAATTAATAAAAGGATACTTTAATTATTTTTATGATCTTTTATAATTTGTTTTTGTATATTATTTATAAAGAACGGAATTCAATTCCATTCCAAATCCTGCAAACCACACACACCAAAGATTTCAAATCCTTCTAATTCCAAATCCTTCCACGAAATCCAAATCCCTAAAAAGCATTCCACCAAACCAAACGGGTCCTTACATTCAGTGGTTCATTGGATGGGTTTTCAGCTCATTATCTTTCATACTCGATGGTGCTTCTATTAGTTTTTGCCTTTTGATTTTGTTTCATATACGTTGGTTTGTTGTGGTGGTGAAATGGCACAATAGCATTGTCGTTTTTGCATTACAGGATGGTGGCATCTTGGTTGGAATTCCTATGCCTTGAGAAGCAAGGGTGTTTAGGTACAAAATATGTATAACATGCTTCCTCTTAGAGTTACCCTCCTTCGAGTCGGTATCATGCCTCGAGTAGCGAGAGAATATTGATTGGTTACTAGTTGTAACGTATTTACCTCTGTATGCTTACCATATCAACCACTCTTCCATGTGTGTCCCTTCCAGTAGAGACAATTAACTCCTAAGACACTAAGGAAGCAAATCCGACCATATCCGACTTCTTACACATTATTGCATACATATCATAGAACTTGTCTCCACTTCTTCATGCAAGGTATCCCCACTAAAGGACGTCGAAATAAACTCTAAGTGTATTTCAAAGTCTTCGTTCCCTCTCTGACATTGTCCCAAGACGTCAAGGTACGATCTCTAGGATGTGCCATAGATATCTGAATGCATAGATATCGTCTCGACATTTTAGGTCTGTGACAGGCGTAGTTGAGATAAAGATCCACAACCTACAAGTCTTGATTTGAATGCATAGACATGGTCTCAAGTCTTAAGAGGACTGCAAGTCCTACAAGTCCTGCAAGTCTGCAAGTCCACAAGTCCACAACAGGTGTAAAATTGTGATAACCCATGACATGATGTATGTATCAGATATCTTGAAGGTCCCTTCTTTTAAAGATGAAGGTCTCGATATCAGGTTTGACAAACTTAAATTTAGAATTTCTTGAGATGGTGCCTGTAACAAAGTCCTTTGCATTCTCTATAGAAGTTCGCTTTGGAGTTCCATGAGCTGGTGCTTCTAGCATAGGCATGGCAACGGTGCGAGAATGGGGCGGAAATGCAATCCCCAGCCCAAGCCCCAATTCTACTATCTCATCCCTATCCCCGCCCCGGTTCCCTAACGGGTATGGGAATCGAATCCCCTCCCTAGTTTTTGTTGGGCCTATCCCTAGTTCAACAATAAATGGTTCAAAATAGGTTGAAAAATATAATATATTGAATAACACAATTAAATAATATAATTTTAATTCATATATAAACATATGGGGACGGGGAGGGTTGGGGAGTACATTACCCGGCCCCAACCCCGATTTTCAACATGTCGGGGATCCTGGACCCGATACCCATTTTTACGAGGCACCCCTGGCCCCGAATTGGGGCAGGTTATCCGGGTTCCCCAACAGTGCAGGGCAAATCACCATGCATATTCTAGCAGTAGAACGAGATATAGGTTGTCTGACCTTGCTCGTAATAGTCCGCTCCAAAACCGTCAGTTATAGCAAATTATATGTAGGTAACAATTGCGGATCCCAGGTGCTCGATATTATGGCATGGACTTGGTGATCCTTACAGTAGCTATGCAGATTCCAAGTGTTTTGCGAGCTGCAATACAACATTTTCAATGGTCTTACGCATTGCATCCAAATGTACCCATTACTGCTAGAAAATTGCATGTCTAAAGAATTGCGACAATGGTAGAATAGCTTGTCACTATATCCCCTAACGTGACCAACCTCGTCGTAAGCTCGTGAACTGAACATCATGAAGTTCAACACTTGTATCATTAACCACAACATCCTCTCAAAATAGTAGCCCCAACCATGAGTATGAACATAATGCCTTGATTATTGGGAAACACTTTGCCCCTCCCCTCTAGTAAGGTTTGGATAAACAGTGATGTATCTAGTAATCAAACCATTATACATTTTGTGCATTCCATTCTTACTCGCTCTTGGGAGCTATTATTTCGGAAGACTGATGTTGTTAGGCATGTTAGAAAACATTCAGGATTGGTATTAACAATGCTCAATTTATACGATCAAAGATGGTTGTGATAAGCGAAATGCAGATAAACTAATATACCATATAGATACAACAATTATCGCAACCGACTTTCTCGTATGATCTGGAGGCTAAACGCGAGATAGTCGAAAATGATGCAACCAACTTTTTTAGTATCTTAGGAGCCAGTTTTGTCTCTACTGAAACGGACGCACATGGACAAAGCCATTGATCTGCTAGGCATATATAAGGTACAAATATACGATAAGGTAGATCCATTCCAAGAGTAACTGATCAATAATGCCCTCCACTGCTCAAGGCATGATACTAACCGAGATGAGGGTAGCCTTGAGAATGAATATATAATGAACCTCCTTTATACAAACAACTGGGTATTTAAAGCAGTTGAACAACTCCTTTTGTCAGATCCTGCAATGATTGCCACAAGTTCTTTTTTACTATAGCTATATGGTCTTCTACAAGCTATTTAAAAAAGAAATGACATTAGAAAGCTCCCTATATGGTTTCAACTCTTGAGGTTTGCAAGTCTACCACAAGTGTAGTTGTGACATGGATCCATGGCATGAAGTAGGTATCCAATATCTTGAAGATCTCTGTTGTTGAAGATGATCTCAATATCGGACTTGACACGCTCAAATTTTATGGTTTGTTGAGACGGTGCACGAAACAATGTTCGTTGTAGCCTTCTTTGTAGAGGTTCGCCTTGATAATGTGCTTCTAGCAATAGACCGAGATATAGGTTATCAGACCTTGCATGTAAAAGTGAGCTCCAAAACTGCCAATTTTACCAAATCAAATGTTAAGGATGTGGAAGACTACCAAGAGATCTCGATGATATTGTGGCATAGGCGTTGATATCTTAGCACTCCTTAGGGTAAGACTTGGATATATAGTTGCCCACAACAATGAGTATGGATAGTAGGGCCCAACGACGAGTATGTATAGTAGCCTCCAAAAGTGAGTATAGATGGAAATTGGTCATAGTAAGCGAAATGTAGACAAACTATTATCTCATATTGAATCAACACATTATCACAATGCATGAGACATACTCGACTTTCTTACACGAACCGGAGCAACTGAACACTGTGTAGCATAGGATCTGCCAAAAACCCTTCGATAACCGTCGTAGGTGTTATTAGATCAAAAAATGTTTGAAGATATAGAAAGATAACATATGTGTTGAGCAATCCAGAGGCTCATGGTTGTATACAGATTCTAAGTCATCACGAACAAACTTGATGATGCAGAGGCTCTATATAGTACATACAGAGGCTTTGGGTCTTGGAAATTCATCTCTCCCCCTTGAATGATGCGT